TGCGAATGGATACAATATTATAAAAATGTAGTTAAAATTCATTCTAAAAGATTAAAATTAAATATTATTTATTTTGCCTTTTCAATTGTTATATTTCTATTTTAGATTCTGAGTGAAACGATGAATGTATTGATTTTACAATGATGTGTGTTTTTTTATTTTTTTATTTTTTTTGTATCTGTGAACACGATAAGTAGTCGAAATAATGCTTCGATTTTCGACTTCAGTATCTTGTTCGATTGGAAAGTGAATATCGTTGGTGCATTGGGGAGGTCAAAATTTAAATTTCCCAGTAGTTTTCACAAGCGCCGGGAAAAACAACATAAAAATTAAGGAAAAACGGGAATTTTTACGCAAAATTGATTTTCCAAAAAATCGATTTTGGTTATTGGTGTAACTCTAAAACAAATGAACGTATATACATGAAATTTTCACTGGTTGTTTATATTTGCATTTTCTATACACGATAACATTTTCAAAATATTTTGATTTATTTTGAACTGTTTAGGGACATTTTCATTTTTCGTTTTTTTTTAGTTTTTTTTTCTAGAAATATCAATAAAATTTTATTTGTTGGTTGCGAAAGCTTGAAAATTTAATAGAAGGCTCCTAATATATTGTTTCAAAGGCAGATGAAAAATATTAAAAATCCTTAGTCACAATTTTTTTTTATAAGCATTTAAAGTTCAAAAATTGACAAAATATGGAAAAATCACGAAAATTAGCAAATTATTTTGAGTTAAGAATTCGTAAAAATTTTTCTTTTTAAATCTAAGATTTGAAAATCTAATACAAGATTACTCATAAGATTGTCTACCTTTATGAATAAAAAAATCTCTACCGGAAAGTCAAATTAAATTTTTATGAGCGTTTGAAATTCAAATTTTTACAACATTGGACATTCACTCGATTTCTCATGTGGCAATTTCCTTTTTTTGTTGTAATTAAAAAACGAATTACTGTAGATACATGAAAATTTCACTGAATGTTTATATTAGCATTTCCTATACACCCTACAATTTTGAAAATATTTTGACACTTTTTGAGCCGTTCATGGACATTTTCAGTTTTCAATTTTTTTAGTTTTTTTTTTCTATAAATATCAATTAAGTTTTATCTGTTGGGCCAAAAAGTGTAAAAATTTAATACAAGGCTCCTGATATATTGTTACAATATCAGTTGAAAAATATTAAAAATACATAGGCACAATTTTTTTTTATAAGCATTTTAACATCGAATTTTGATAGAATTTATCAAAATCTCGAAAATTATTAATCATCGTAATTAATAAATTATAAAATGTTCAGTTTTTATAGCTAAGGATTGAAAATTTAAAACAAGATTCCACGTAAGTAGTTAATTCTCTTACCGAAAAATCTAAAAAATATACAATCACAGTTTACTTTTATAGTCATTTTATGTTCAAATTTGGACGAAATTACATATTAAAAAACCTAGTTATTTTGTTGTGATTATATAATATTAATCGTGGGTACCTACTTGAAACTTCTAAAGTGTACTATTATATATATATGATAGTATCAGGGTTTGTTGTTGATGTTGATGTATAACGTGTTATAAGTACCTAATGGATATTGTGAAAATGTGATATGATTAATTTGGAATTTATTATAGGTCAATTTTTTTTTTAATACCATAGATATGTATATAATTTGTATTAAACCTAGACTGACATACCGTCTTCGCTCAGAATCGTTTTTCTTATACAATGATATTGTATCATTGAATTCAAATTTAATAGCATCCATTATACAGTGACCCACTTGTAACCTACTGTACAGCAGAGCGACATCCACTTACCCACCTTTTTATTATTAGTTATGTTTTTACTGATCAGATAAATGTGACGCCGTGGCCCACCCATAATACGGTTTGTATAATTAAGCTAGTGGTTTCACATATTTATTTATTAATTTTTTTTTTTTATCCTGGATACTAAATTTCTACCAGAAGGAGTGCTTTGATTTCAACATATAGTATCTTATATTTTAGCAAATTTCATCGAGATGGTACTATAAAGATGCAATTTATCAATTTTCTCAATAGTTATTTAATCATTTAATGTCACTGGATTAACCACCGACAAATTACGAAAAACCGCAGAAAACATGATTTTAATTTCTAACGCTTTGTTTATCACCATAGAAACGAATAAAAAATAATAATATTAATTCAACTTACAGGCTATAGGTAATAAATAATAATAATATAAAATATCCAGACCGTCTCCGCTCAGAATCATTTTTACTTATACAAATATACAATGATATTATAACATTGATTTCAAGTTTAATACAAACCATTATACATTGACCCAATTGCTAGTAACCCGCTTTTTAAATTTTGAATTTTATACATTTTGTCGAAATTGAAACTTTTAATATTTATAAAAAAAATTGTGCATAATATGTATTTTTAATATTTTTTAACTGCTATTGTAAAAAAATATATTAGAAGCTGTGTACTATATTTTCACGCTTTTTGACCAAAAAAATAAAAATGTATTGATATATAATATATAATATATATTATATAGAAAAAAACATACAACAAGAAAATCGCTACATGAGAAATCGAGTGAATATCCAATGATGTTAAAATTTGAACTTCAAACACTCATAAAAATTTAATTTGACTTTCTGGTAAACATTTTTTTTTGATAAAGGTAGTCAAACTTATGAGGAATACCTATTGTATTAAATTATCAAATCTTTGTTAGATTTAAAAATAAAAATGTTTATGAATTTCTAACTCAAAATAATTTGCAAATTTTTGCGATTTGTACGTAATTTGTCAAAATTCGAACAAAATGCTTATAAAAAAAAATTGTGACTATATTTTTAATATTTTTCAACTGCCATTGTAAGAATATATTAGGCGAGCCTCGTATTAAGTTTCAAGCTTGTTCATTCAACCAATAAAATTAATAATTAATAAAAACTAATGACTCTAAAAAGCTGTAATAACTAATAAGTGGTTTTCTGTAGGTAGGAAAAAAAGACAATGAGGGGGGGATATTATAACCCCTAACAACCCCCTACCTGAGCACGCCACTGAATGCGTTCTCAAGATTCTATGACAAAGGATTAGGGTCCATTTTTCTACATAGAGATATAAATATTACGTAAATTAATATTTTTACATTTTTTTTTAAAAACAATATTGACAATTTAATCTATATTTAATATTATATTATGATGGATCGTCGTAAAATCAAGACCTGGCCATTTAACATGTTCTTGTTGAATCTTTAAAAACGTTTTTAATCAAAGCCTTTATACTTTATAGTGTTGAAAAACTTCTCTAAACAGTGTAAATACCTATACAAGTAAATACAACATTGTATGGAAATCCATTTCTAAAAAACAGAATGCACCATCAACGTAAATAAACCTTAAAGCAGTATAAATAAGTATCTAAGAAATAAACATAACTCATAAGCATTGATGGTTATCACTTATCAAAAACTAGCAAAAAACGAAAAACCTTAGACATGACATCAAAAGTACGAAGGGGACATGGGGTATGGCTACATAATATATAGTATATACAGTATACACAGGCCTTGTTCAAGGGATAGGCGATATAGGCCCACGTCTAGGGCTGCACTTTTCAAAACATTGATAATATTATTATTTAGGGGCAGCAAAATTTGATTTTGCCTAGTGCACTATTTACGCTTTAGTCGGCCCTGTATATACACTATATACATAAAGCAATAATAGGCATTCAATGATTTAATTAAACCTGCAATTTAACTTTAAGCCTGTTCCAGGGGGCCTTTCCACCCTATGTGGCTATATACATCACTGTGTCTAATATATTTACACATATTTACATTAGATGATTACTGAGTTATACTAATTGTCTGTTATTTTGTTTACTGCGATCACTGATCAGATAGCATTCATTAAAATTAACTTCTATAATTTTAATTTATTCATTATATTTTATCATCGATAATTATAATTATTACTATCGCCGTTCAACCTGCTAGCATTGATTAAATAAAAGTAAAATAAGTTCCTAATAACCTTTGTTAATCATTCATAATATACTTGTTTTGGTTTTGGATTATATTTATGAAATTCTCAGTTTGTAATTAAAAACATTTGTAGCCGGTTAGAAATATCGTCTAATAGCTCATTAATTGTTAATTTGTATAATGTAATATATATTATATAAATTGTTAGTTTAAAATTTGAAAACAAAAACTAATAATTTGTGATTGTATCAACCCATTTAAACATAGTATACATTTATTCAATAATTATTATATTTAAAAATCAAAAAACCTTGTTGTGCACAAGTATAATTATAAAGTATATGTGTTATTGGATTTATTATTATTATTTTTTAATAATTAGTTTCATATTTACATGAACATTGGACATATAATAATAAGAGTTAATTCATAAAGCCTATTATATGGTTAAAAAAAGGATAAAATTAAAATTAAAATGTTGGGAGGATAAATCCTTAGATTATGATCATTGATCATTAAATAAATATGTTTTTTTATGATATAATATGTGATCATAGAGTTATTCTACTACCTAAGTTGTAATCCCCCGAAGATACTAAGAAACTAAGAAGAAACTTGTATATAAAATATAAAATTCATATTATAATTTGTACTGTTCTTGTTTAGTTGTTTACTTACTACACGTTAAACTATGACTTAAGTGACACACAAATTGACTATGCATACAGACACAACTACACAAGGTTTTAAATAAAGTAACCTTTATTTTAAATTATTGCACTTCTGTTAAATTATAGTGATTCATTACAAATAAATAGTAATTTGGGATAATAAAATGTTAAAAAATAGTACAGTACTTGACATTTAAATAATATAGATCTATAATTTTTGCACCAAAATTAGTATATATCTTATTAAAGCACTATATATTTAGTAATTGATTCATAAAAATTAATTTTGAAAAAAAATTGTATAAAATAAAATAATGAGAAGTTTACAAAACAATTTTATTAGCTAATGAACAAGATAACCCAGTGTTATCTGGCTCAACATTTAACTGTTCCACTTTACCATCTTTGATTAACATTGAGTATCTCTTGGAACGAGTGCCGCCCAATGGTGGCAAATTAATTGCCAAATCAAAAGCATTTGTGAGTTCTGCATTGGGATCAGCTAATAATCGAACCTAAAATAAATTAATACAAAATCAGTAATTATATAAATATTTGTATAGAACAATATGATACAAATAGGGTTCTGATGTTCGTAAATGGTTATTTTTCAAGATGTATTTTCTATATTCAATTTATGTTAGGAATTAATATATGCAAATAAAGATAACATGTCACCATTTATTTCCAGTTTTTTTTTTTTTTTAATATCACATGGGGCAACTTTAAATAAATTATATTTTTCAACTAAGTAACTTTTGTTACCATCAAACTATTGATTATAATATAAATATTTAAGTAGAGGTGACTGGTGAATCGAATAATCAATATTTAACCTAACCCCACAATCTACATATTATATGCTACTAAATAATGAATAATCTGCAATCTAAATCTAAATAATAATAATGGAACTTTTAAGTTTGTAATTGTAAGATATTTTTAAACATGTTTATTTGAATTATTTGCAAACAATTTAATGATATGTATTTTTTTTGCTAATTATACTAATGTTTAAAGGTCAAACTTTAATCAGAATTTGGTAATCAATACAGAAATACCTTAAAAACAATATATAAAATAGTGAAGTTTAAATTATTATGTAATATAGGAAATTTTAAATTAAATTTAAATGGTTTGCTTTAAAACTATAATATTAAAAATATTACTATCTTAATTTACGAGTTATTTATTGTTTTGAACTCTACAACTGGGGAAATTATTATTATATTCAATCTGAAATCTAAATTAAGATTTTTTTTGTACTAGGTTGTTTAATCATTTCTTAATAGATACAAATAAATGTATAAGCTTAAAATATTTAAATGTTATATTATAATGATGAAAATAGTGTTTTGAAACAATTTTTTATTGAAATTGTCAATACTATCCAAATAACAAATAATTTAAAAAAAAAATAATCAGAAAATAGATACTAAAGATCAGCATTGGTTGTTTTCTTTTGTCCCAAAATTTTAATTAAAAATTTGAACTAGCCCAGGCCCGGTCTGAATTGTTTCATCTCAAGTCCAACCCAACCAGATAATAAATCAACGATAAACCAATTGCTAAGTAAATAATACTTCATTTTTCTTTTAATAAAATTATGAAAATAAAGTACATTTGACAAGTTATTATTTGTGTGTATAACTATAATATTAGCACTGATTGTCGTCAATGATAAGTGTTTCCTGAGAAAAAAAATATAATTTCGCTAAAAATAAATGAAAACCCAAACCAAAAACAGTTCAAAAGTAGATATTTCACTATTGCACAATTTATAATATACGTTTTATTTTAGATCAACACGGCACAAAGCCAAGTACGACGATTCAACCATAACCAACCCAAAATATTTTTTTTAAGAATTGGCCCAGTCCAAACCTTGAACAGGCCCAGGGAGCTGGATTGTCCCATGCTGATCTCTAATAGGCACCCATATAAGGTATATCAAATAATATTAAAGATAATTTATAAAATTACTTTTCCCTCAGCTTTTTGATCTTGAGCCCAAGCTGCCATGACAAACGCATCATTCACAGAAACACAGACAATCTCATCCACACCTTTACTCTTCAAGTCATCAGCAGTGTTCACATAGCCAGGCAAATGTGTCTAAATGCATTCAATTGTATAATGATTAAATGGTAATCTCAAATTATATGAATATATGGTAAAAAAAAAAATTTTAAATTTACCTTTGAGCAACCTGGAGTGAATGCTCCGGGAACGGCGAAAAGTATAACAGTTTTTCCACTGCACAGTTCCGAAATGTTAACTTTTGTGGCAGGTGTGTTTTCAAACAAATCTATGCTGGGTACGGTATCTCCAACCTGTCAAAATTGAATAATATGACAATATGAAATAAACACTTTTAAGTTATTTAATTAGGTCTCACTTTGACGGGCATTTTGGAATTCAGGCTGATGCTTAATAGACGTTTGGCGATTGTACTGAGTGCGGTGGAAGGGACTGCACTCACTGTCTTCTGTAAAGCCCCAATAGAACAAAACATGGTTGAAAAAATGTCGGTATAGTTATATAATAGGTATGAGATATTATATAATGAGTAAATACTAAATAAGTTTCACGCGGTTATTCACGATTACGTATAGTAAATAGTAAATACGTATGGTAAATTATGTGTGTGTGTCTGTGTACTTTACCGTTCAACGAAAATGGCTATATTATTATAAGTGAGTAGTGACTGATTCGTGACCGGTAGGGTTGATGTGAGGTGCGCGTCTATGGTAGTAATAGTTGCCAACTTGGAATGACAGATGAGCGACGAATACGAAGTCAGAAGTACGAAGCGTACTTGTGAACTACGGTTTTCCGGTTTTCGATAACGAATGCCAAGACTTGCCAAGGCCAACGCGAACTTCGGTGCGACAGTGTCTTCTGTGGCGCCGTCTGGTGGACACTGTCCACTGTCCAGTGTCCACAGTCCACACCGTAGTTTAAAATAAATTAACATAAATGATTTCTATGGTAAAATGTAAAATATAATACTATATAAATATATAATATGAATAGTTCTATCAATAATCCTCATTCCCCTTACAGTGCAAAGCAAACCATAAAATAGAACATAATATCATATTATAATATATTAATATCTTAGTTCGTTCATAGTTAATGGTGCAAACACAGTATCGAATATATCTGTGGCCCAATGGCCGTTGTGAGAGCCTTTTACATGATATTATAATTTATGACAGCTATTATATGGTATTAAAGATAAATTTAAACCGGACTATTTTAGCGAATTTGTGGAATGCCACTTACACTGTGGGTATAAACTATAAAGAATAAAGAATACCTATCGATATTCAATATTTTAATGCCTTTGATCAACCGACGAGGCACGAGGTATAATAACGGATTACAAAATATCTTATGATTCATGAGTAATAACAAGATTTAAACACCTGTCACAAAATATAATAATATATAATATATTAATATGTAGAATATATTTTATATTTGAGAGTAGGTAGTTCATTGTCTATTGTTCATGCTAATTTCCAGACAGGTACACTATGACTATGCCTCTATTTCGGTGTTTTGGAATCGGAACGTTCCAAATTTCCATTATATTATATTATGATTTTTGATTATTAATTAGGTATGAGTTTATATGACGTGGCTGGATTTTTATTTAGTCCAATTAATCATGGCGGTGCGGCGGCTTGTTCTATGCTGGAACCAATGAAAATATCGCAATCATTACCACGGGAACGCGGTAGTTAGTTGTTACCGGCATTCACAAACCATGTTTGCCGGTTGTTCGGTTATCAAATTTGTACTGCCGTTTTATCTGTTATCATTACATGGGCCGATCCTATCGCACATGGTCGAACCACAGAATAGATGAAATTCATCAATTCATCAATTAGTGATTCAATTTCATCTATTCTGTGGTCGAACTCTAGAGTCTAGAGCAGATAATTGTCATCAATTGATCGACTATCAAGTATAAACAGTAGAATACAATTAAATAAATATATGAAATATGAATTCAGAATATTTCTCGTATAGTTTAGAGCTTTTGTTTTGTTTTTAATTTCCGTTTCATTGTGTAGGATTATAATAATATAACCAATCCACTGTAGTTTTAATTAAATAATTCTAATTTACGTAATCCTTGTTGAAATAATTTCTAGCATCAATAAGTAATTTAAGAAATTGGACTGTGCTACCAATTATACGTTTTGTTATATAATTTCATATTTTCTCAACAGTATAATTAATAGTCTGATTTCTGTGGAAAAATAAACATTTAATGGCGGTATGTATTATACTTTACAAATACCTAATTATTATTATTCATTACGTAGTCACATAGGTATCGTTTAATGTTTTTTTTGTTCATAGTGCATGCATAATATTACACCGTGTTAAATTATATTTCATTACGTATAGATTAGTCTTCTTGACACCTAATACCTAAAAATTAAAATTTACTATTATTTGTGAGAAATTTTGAATTTTAGTGTATATTATTTCTTCATACTATGTTAAAACAACAAAAATATTTATTTAATAATTTTTATTTACAGAAAAATAAGTCTAAAAAAAATGTCAACCAAACAGATACAGATGCTATAAAGAAAAAAAAACTGACAAGTAGAAAAAGAAAAGCACTTCTAAAAATTATAGAAAAAAAACAAAAGAGCCAAAAGGTAATATTTTTTTATTTTTATTATTATTACCCATACTCTATTCCGAATATGTATAGAAAAAAATCACGATAGAAATGCGCCGCATTTGTCGGTGCACTCCAGACTACTTGCCTATCACAGCAACCTCTACCGTTCTGAGGCTGTGCAGTTTCTCCAAACTTATTAGGAATAGAATATACTAGATTTTGTATTTTGTTATGTTTTATAACAAGTTTTATTGTTATTTTTATTAATTTTTCAGAGATCTGAAATGTTAAATGAATTGAAGAGTCTTGAACTTTCAGCACCTTCATTGTCTTTGATGACATCTATAAGTCAAACACAAACGAGTGGATTAAGAAATGCATTAAAAGAAAAAGTAACAATTTTGAATTTATTATTTTAATTTTATATTATTTTTATTATAATCATTTTAAAACAAACAGTAATAAAAAAATATAAAATTCTAGAAAAAATGTCAAACACCTAAGCAGTCCATTGAAGAAAATGGGAGCTCAGATGAAATGACCGTTGATGAAGATGTTGGTTCAGAACTTGACGAAGATTAAATTGTATAATAATACCTAAATTATTCTGCAGAAAATCAGTAACTATTTTACGATGGTGGCCATATTAATTTTACTTCTTTGTGTGCTGCTTGTGGTAACCATATTAAATATTCTTCCAATAAATCTATAAAAACAAAAAAAAATTGTTGTAAACATCTACAATAATTATTATTTAATAAATAAAAATTTACATGTTGGCTTTTTTAACCAATGTTCTTTAATTTTTTTTGCCGAATCATCATGGTTTTTGTTCAATGTTTGTGTAAGCAAATAAAATGACTCTTTTAAGCTAAAAAATATAGAATATAAAATAATATAACGTGTTTATATAACATAGAATAATATGTAATTACAATTTTAGCCAAGGTTTTAAGATGAGATCAGGTTTAGATAACAAATGTTGTCTAAAATTTTCCAACTGTGGAAATACGTTTCCACTCAGTATAAAAAATGCTAACCAACAATATTTTTGTTCAATGTCAGGAAATTCAATTTCAGCTTGTGGTAATGACCATCCAGCTTGACCTGGATAAAGTTGAATTTCAATTCTAATATTAGATAGCAGTGTTCAAATAAAAACTCGTAAATTAAATTACCATAAGTCGCATTAACTGTACAGAACATTTTCCCAGTTTCTTCATTATAACTAGGCATAGGATCGTCCAATACTTTTAATGTTTTACATAATCTATTAGCATACATAGGTAACCATTCTGGTTCAATTGCAGTGAGACCTTAATGAATGAATTGTTATAAATTAATAAATGCTAAATCTCATTTTGTAAAAGCATTAAAGTTAAAATAAATCCTGGTTAAATTAAAATTGTATTATTACTATTTGTATACCTTTAATATACATTTTGTCTTGTACTTCAAATATCTCTTGATAAACTAACCATTCTGGTTTACTTCTTTTTAATACACTACTATTGTGTATGTACACTATTGCTGTTAAATTTGATGCGTAATAAGCAGCCTTATTTGGCCTTATGCCATTTCTATTTAATTCGTTGGTAGTTAATCGCCTTGCAACTCTATCCACCATTCCAGCTAATACAATTTGTCGTATTTGTTTCACCTACAGGCAGTTAATGTTGTACTATTGTAAATCTAGAGAAAATTCATAACTTGTCATACTTGTATTGGTGTGGGCGGTGTCATGTCTAAATCAGTATTTAATTGTAATGATGGCACATTTATGTTGAGTTGATTAATTAATTGATTGTTTAATTTCCAAGCTTCCAAAATTGATTTTTGATGTAACCCTGTTTTGGTGCAATATTCTTGCAGACCCCCTAAACCCGATTTTTTCATTGCATGGCTTGCGCCACCCATAGATCGTAGTATTATCATTAGATCACCTAGATATTGTAAAAAAAAATAATTAGAAAGTATACAGTGTTGATATTTTATGTTTATATAATTAATACATACATAAATATAGCAAAATAATATTGAGTAAAGACAGGGCCGGTTTTAAGGGGGGGCACGGTTGGGCAATTGCCCGGGGGCAGCACACTTTTGGGGCGGCAAAATTATCTCAAATAAAATAAACAAAAAATTAATTTTTTTTGTAAAGAGAAAGATTTCTAAAAAATGATACATTTTATTACTATTTATTTTTTAAATTCACATATGCATACATTTTTTTTACCTATATTTTATCATTTTAAATAAAGAAAAATAAACGTTATTAACTAAGTAGGTAGGTACCTACTAGGTATCATGGAAAATTCTAGGTAGATAGTACCTAAGACCTAAGTTATAAATTAGTTACTTATGTTTTTTTGTATAGTTTAAATACTATTAAAAATCTAATATTGGAATGCATAGGTACCTAGTTAAAATTGCTAAAAATTAACTGCAAATTAAATTTCAATGAGAAAGGGAAACATAAAAAAGGTGGGCAAGTGGGTGTCGCTCTGCTTTATTCGCATATAAACATAACTTAAAAATATAAAAAGGTACTCTGCTGTACAGTAGGTTACAAGTGGGTTACTGTATAATGGATGATATTAAATTTGAATTCAACGATATAATATCATTGTATAAGAAAAACGATTCTGAGCGGAGAAGGTATGTCAGTCTAGGTATAAGAAATATTATATACATATCTATGGTACTAAAAAAAAATTGACCTATAATAGGTACCTATAATAAATTCCAAATTAATCATATCACAATATCCATTAGGTACTTATAACGAGCTATACATCAACAAAAACCGTGATACTATCATAGATATATAAAAGTACACTTTAGAAGTTTCAAGTACCCACGAATAATATTATACAATCACAACAAAATAACTAAAATAGTTATTCTAGGTTTTTTAATATGTAATTTCGTCCAAATTTGAATTTAAAATGTCTGTAAAAAATAACTGTGTTCATATACTTTTTAGATTTTTTGGTTACAGTATGAACTATTTATGAGAACCTTTGTTTTAAATTTGCAATCCTTAGCTATAAAAACTGAACATTTTATAGTTTATTAATTACAATGATTGATAATTTTCGAGATTTTGATAAATTTTGTCAAAATTCGATCTTTAAATGCTTATAAAAAAAACTGTGCTTATGTATTTTTAATATTTTTCAACTGATATTGTAACAATATATAAGGAGCCTTGTATTAAATTTTTACACTTTTTGGCCCAACAGATAAAACTTTATTGATATTTAAAGAAAAAAAACTAAAAAAAATTGAAAGTTATAAATGTCCGTAAACAGCTCAAAAAGAGTCAACATATTTTCAAAATTGTGTGGTGTATAGGAAATGCTAATATAAATATTCAGGGAAACTTTCATGTATCTACAGCTATTCGTTTTTGAATTACAACAAAATAAGGAAATCGCTACATGAGAAATCGAGTGAATATCCAATGTTGTAAATATATGAATTTCAAATGCTCATAAAAATTTAATTTGACTTTCTTATAGACATTTTTTTTTGATAAAGGTAGACAAACTTATGAGTTATCTCCCCCAAAGTACCAACTAGATTCACTTTCCTATCAGAAAAGCTACTGATGAAGAAAATCCAAGAACTTTTACTGTCCTAAAACGTGATGACAGACACAAAAAATTAAAAAAAAAAACACATCATTGTTAAACCAATACATTCATCATTTCACTCAGAATCTAAAATGAATTAACTTTATGCCCCCCCCCCACAAAAAAAAAATAAAATTTAGCCACCACTTCTATGGTATTAAATAAAATGTGTTGGAAAGGGGTGCCATAAATATTGTGCCCGGGGTCGAAAAATCCCTAAATACGGCCCTGAGTAAAGATTTTAAATTCAACTGTTTAACTCTATTGCCAGGTGCACACCAACTCAGTGTGATATAGTCAGCCCTGCTATTGCATTGGGCACGAGCAGTGAGTCGTAACAGTTTTTTTTTCACTGTATTTGTAATTACTCATAATAATAAGTGGTAATATTATTTATTTTTTTTTTTTATAACAATAATAATATTGATTTTTAATTTGAAAATAATTTAAAAGAGCATAACTACCATATATATTTTACTAAAACAAGTTTTTAATAGATCAATTTTTTGTTATTAGTTTTTACCTAAGAGTAAAAATTCGCCCTTGTTTGCCCATGAAAGTTTGGTTTTTTTCCAAGCATCAACATTGTCACCAGGTAAATATTCTTGAACAGACATCGCAGAAATTATGAACAACATATACTGTAATAAACTGCGGTCTTTACTCAAACACAGCATCTTGGCATAGTGTGGGGATAATGGGAAAGCCGCCATACTCTTTCCCAGAGGTGTAATATTGTTGATTTCTAAACATATTTTTAAACAATTACTAATTTAATGGTTACACAAATATTAAATGTATTGTGTTTACCAGCAATGTTTCTGTCTACTTCTAAAGCACCAAGTGTAACTAATCTTTTTTCTGCTTCTAAAATGGTCTGTTTATCTGGTGGTGTAGGAAATGGAAAACTAGTAATTTTATCAATTTTCATTGATTTCATTTGTAAAATAACATTATCAATAGGAGTGGTTTGAATTTCTGGTAAATTCCATTCTGGAAACTCGTCATTGAATAGAGCAGATGAAAATAAACTACCAGATAAAAACAAACAATATACTTTACAAAATGTGTAATATAACAAAATAATTGTCTTGTTGTGATGTCCTTGTAAGATAAAAATTAATATATAATAATAACATAATATTTATTTAAAAACTATATACATACCGATAACAGTGTCCAGGAGACGTTCTTCCAGCTCTTCCAGCTCTTTGATTTGCTGAAGCTTTACTTTCCCAAACAACTGAAAATCTCGAAACACTTGTTAATGGATCATATTCTCGAACTTTAGTTTTTCCACAATCAACAACATATTTAACATTGGGTATAGTTAAAGATAGTTCTGCCACGTTTGTACTTACAACACACATGCGACAACCTGAAGGCGGAGGTTCAAATATCTAAAAAAAAATATAAAATATATAATCTTAAAATAGTTTTTTTTTTATGTAATAGTAAATAAGTAAATTAACCTTTGATTGTTTATGGGCAGGTAACATTGAATAGAGAGGAAGCACCCAAAGTGGTGTTGAACTAAATTTCATAATTTTACTTGGAACTTCATCTTCATCTTCGTCATCGTTACTTGAGTTATCAGAAAGAATTAACTCATCTTCTGAATGCATTTCAATATCATAATCATCTAAATTAATATCAGGCAAAGGTTTTCCAATTTCTTTTTTTATACTTTGTTTACATTTGGTATATGAACTTATTTTAGAATCTGTTTCTCGATATGGAAATGCTTTACGAAGCTTTGATACCAATTGTTTTACTTCTAATTTGCCTGGAAATAAAATATGTATTATATATTTTTTTAAATTCAATTATTTATGTAAACAAATGATAGCAAATAAAGAAACAAATGCAGTTTAGCTCCACAATTTTTATTTTCAAAATGTGATTTTTGAAGCTGAATGTTTTGGTGTTGATGACGAGTCAAACTTTTTAACTTTTTGAATTGTATACAAAATGACAAAACACAAATATTGGACCAGCTCCTATTTTTATGATTTTAGAGCTCAATCAAAAATTTAAAATATTCTTCAATTAGCTGTAAAACAATTTATGGAGATATCATACGGCCAATTTCTTTTAAGAGATCAAAGGAAACTACCAGAAAAAAAACTAATAAAAATGTTGTAGAATTTAACTGCATTTTCACTAAATAACATAATATTATTTTAAGATATACCAGTTAAGAACACTAAAATAGCACCAGCTGGTAAATTGGAATGAATTTTATAAATTTTGTTATAAGCTTCAGCTAAATAGTCATGTGGGGTTCTCTTGTTGAAATGAATTGTCACTGGAAACTGTCTTGAACTCAGCTATATTAACATTTCAAAATAGTTAAATTTAAAATGTATATTAAACAACCTATTAATTTTTTGAATATTTACTTCAATAATAGGGGGTGGTTGAAGAAAAAGTTTTTGGTTTTTTGAAAAATCATCAACTTTAAGTGTAGCAGACATAATGATTAACTTCAATGGACTAGACCTTTTTTGACGCAGACGAACAATACGGGATAAGATACCAATCAATATATCAGAAAACACCCGCCTCTCGTGAGCCTCATCTAATATAATTGCTGAATATTTGTTGAGCAAAAAATCCTGAAATAAACATAAATCTTAATATTTTTGTTACTAGTTTAGAATTATTTTAGAATAATAAATATTAAAATTTACATTTTGTATCTCTTTTAACAATACACCATCAGTCATAAACTTTATTTTTGTATTACTTCCTGCATTTCCTTCAAAACGTATTAAATATGATACAATATCAGTTGTTTCATTTAACTCTTCAGCTACTCGTTGAGATACAGATATTGCAGCAATACGTCTAGGTTCTGTGACACCAATCATTTTATTCCCACTAAAAATAAACAAATAATAGATACATAATTTTTGTTAATTATTCAATTAAATAGTGATTGATGATATATATTATAATATGTCTAATGTAATTTATTGACAAAATTTAGGTATTGAATTTATATTTGACATAAAAGTGAATTTACTTTGAATAGCCAGCTTCGTATAAAAATTGAGGAACTTGGGTAGTTTTTCCACTTCCTGTTTCCCCAACAACAATAATGACATCATTTTCACTGATTGCTTCCATAATGACTTGTTCTTCACCAATAATCGGTAACTTTGAACGAGACTCTATAATTTCTGGTGTCCGATTGATTGGTACTGGCTGCTTTTTGGCAGTAGAATCTGTTTTGCCACTCATGATGACTGACTATTGAAAAAATTACAGTCGATTTTATAATTTAATAGTATAATAAATATTAAATCAAAATGTAAACTATAACAAAATAAATGTTGACATGTTGAAAAATGTAAATTATTTGAATTTCTCACGTGGTGGTGATGTTTACTTTTAAGTTTTGGTTGTTCGGCAGTTCTGCAGTATGTGATAAGAAAATTTGATAAGCGATAATGATAAAAAATGAATTTAATTGATACTACCCACAGATATAAAATTTTATATCTGTGATACTACCACATCTCAGACTAAGATATACAGGACTGGACACGACAAGGTTGGAGGGTGTGGGGGGGTTGACTACGAAATGTTTTACAACAGGCAGTGTTCGGGGGGATATTTTCCTTTTAGCATTACTAGCGCCGTCTTAGTGGATACTTTTGGAACTAGATGACAATAATGTGATCTAGTTCCATAAGTATCCACTAAGACGGCGCTAGTAATGCTAAAAGGAAAATATCCCCCCGAACTCCGCCTGTTGTAAAACATTTCGTAACCACAATATTCATCTCGTGTCCAGTCCTGTATATCTTAGTCCGTGACATCTACCATATCATATCACCGTATTGTTCTATGACCATATCTACCTACCACTGCTACCTTGTAACCGCATAATTCGTGGTTTAAATTTTTTTGGACTTTCAGATACTGCATATTTGCCACATATTTTATATCTATGATATTTGCATAGTTGCATATTAGCACTTAAAAATGTATTTAAAATATATATCTAATACTAATTAATAATTTGGAACCAATACTGGCAATACCCAAATACTTTTGATAAGTAGATACTTAGGTATTTCAAATATTTTCAAGTAGGTACCCACATATTATATAAAAAATAACAATTGATTTTCGTTATTATTTGTACAAGGTTTTATTACACTTTACTATCATAATAAATTACTATTACTACATAATGTTCATCTGTTATACACTCATACGCCATACAATTCATACACAATTTACTAAATCAATAAGAAGCGAAATTTAAATTGTTTTAATCTTTTCTGAAAGACGTCAACGATACTGAAAAAGTTTTAGCATTGTGATGTAGTTTATTATTAAAAATAAAAATAATATAATATAAATATTTTAACTTTTCACGTGCCCTCATAATTTTTTCGTGTGCCACTTTCGGCACGCGTGCCATGATTTGAGTGATTTGCGAGGGCGTATATCGATTCCGCCGATTTTATATCGATTCCGCCGGCTATTGATTCCGCCGGCTACTGTTTAAAATATCTACATATCGATTCCGCCGGCTATTAATTCCGCCGGTTACTGTTTAAAATATCTACATATCGATTCCGCCGGCTACTGTTTAAAATATCTACACATCGATTCCGCTGGCTACTGTTTATTCCCCCCTCTTGTTATAAAATTATTTAAATTAATATAATAAATAATTAAATAATTAATTATTTTAATAAATTGTTTTATTATAAAATATTAAAATGTATAGTCTAAATTGTATAAAATGTTAATAATAATTGAATAATTCAAAACTTAAATGTATATATTCTGATTAATATGTGTATGTGAATATATTATAAAATATTAAAATGTATAGTCTAAATTGTATAAAATGTATAAAATGATAATAATTGTAGGTATTATAATAAAATGTATAGTCTACAATTATACGCGGTGTATGTGAATATTTTATAAAACGTATACCTACCTAGTCTAAATTGTATTAGTGTACGTATTGCTATAATATATTAGGTACGCTACATATAAAATGTCAATTATATGATTCTGCCTGAAATCTTATCTTTAAGATACGATATATCTTGATATCTATATGACCTATATTTATATAATATTTTATATAGTTAAAATGTGGACTTCCCAATCTTCCCATGTTTCTTCTCGCCTAGTTACTAATCAGTATCGATCCAGTTCGTGGATTCTCATCGATTCTCCATCGCGTGCATAGTGTCGCATATTCGTATAATTATATTTCTTACAGCTTTATTACTTATTAGTTATAATTAATTAAAATGAACTTTACTATAGTTTCTAGTGAAAGAAAAAATGATTTGATTTTATATAATGATTATAAATATTATAAAAAAGACTATGTCAAGTATTTAGATGCCTTTAAATGGCAGTGTGTAAAAAAAAAGTGTACTGCAAAAATTTATGTGAATCAAGCAACAAATAAAATATTGAAAGATGAAAGTATTCATAATATCAACCATAAAGAAGAAACTACAAGTATTTTAAAAAAATCATTTTCAAATGGACTTAAGCGGAAATCGGAAGACGAATTGGAAAGGCCATCAAAAATTATTAATAGAGGCATTTTAAAGAATCCAGATGTGACACAAACTTTTACAAGTACAGACATTAATAATATTTATCAATGTTTATACCGTTCGCGTAGATCGTCATATCCTAAACTCCCAACAAATCTTAATGAAGTAATCGATGTAATGAGCGAGCGTCAAATTAAAACCGTCCAAGATGAAAACTTTGTTCTTGTTGTTAATTCAGATAACAAAATTATTTGTTTTTCAACAAAATCTAACTTAAAACTATTATGTTCAGTAGACAAAATATTTGTGGATGGAACTTTTACATACTGTGCAAAATATTTTCTCCAACTTTTTACCATCCACATTTTTAAGAACGGACATTATGTTCTGCGATTATTTGGTGGAATATTATATTGATGAAGGAGCAAAATTCAATCCACACATTTGGGCATCAAGGGAAATTACATCAGAACGTACTACTAATAGCTGTGAGTCTTACCACTCAAAATTTAATTCACTATTCACAAAAGCTCATCCCAACATTTTCATATTTACCCATGTTTTAAATACAAAAATACAAACTGACACTTACATGCTTATAAATGGAATAAATATCAATACAATCAGTAAAAATAGTGCTTTTAACAAAAAAAAACAAAATATTAAAACTTTATCAAATGATTTGAACGATAATAAAATTTCCAAGTTCACTTATTTAAAACATGTGTCCAAATATTACCAAAAGTAGTTACCTATATTTATATTAATACATTTAAGTTTTGAATTATGCAATTATTAACATTTATCATTTTATGCAATTATTATTAACATTTTATACAATTTAGACTATACATTTTAATATTTTATAATATATTCACATACACATATTAATCAGAATATATACATTTAAGTTTTGAATTATGCAATTATTAACATTTATCATTTTATGCAATTATTATTAACATTTTATACAATTTAGACTATACATTTTAATATTTTATAATATATTCACATACACATATTAATCAGAATATATACATTTAAGTTTTGAATTATACAATTATTATTAACATTTTATACAATTTAGACTATACATTTTAATATTTTATAATATATTCACATACACATATTAATCAGAATATATACATTTAAGTTTTGAATTATGCAATTATTAACATTTATCATATTATGCAATTATTATTAACATTTTATACAATTTAGACTATACATTTTAATATTTTATAATAAAACAATTTATTAAAATAATTAATTATTTAATTATTTATTATATTAATTTAAATAATTTTATAACAAGAGGGGGGAATAAACAGTAGCCGGCGGAATCGATGTGTAGATATTTTAAACAGTAGCCGGCGGAATTAATAGCCGGCGGAATCGATATGTAGATATTTTAAACAGTAGCCGGCGGAATTAATAGCCAGCGGAATCGATATAAACCTTTTTTCTAAACAGGTAGTTTCGGCCAGTGGCGTAAATTGGGTCCAATTTCTGGTGGTGCAGAGGCATATTCAACCTATAATTTCCAACACAAAAATAATCCAACTTTCTAAGTGAAATCCTTCCTAACAAAAAAAAACTATATACAGGGTGTCCCGTGAGGATTTACTCATTAGCCGTAGAGTGGGACTCGCCGCCCGGACAAAAACCAGTTTATTGACGTTTTACTAATAAACTAAAAAAATTATTAAAAATCATGAGATTAATGAAAATAAAATGTTAAAAGCTCAAAATGTTCACAAAAATATACTCTATAGAATGGCTATCTTCAATTTTTTCAAAAATAAAAAAATAAAAAATAAAAAAATAAAAAAATAATTTTTTTAACTTTTTTACTAAAAAATTTAATTTAATTAAAAAATAAAATATTTGTAGTGCTTACCTCTGCAAGTCTTAATAAAAAAACATAATTACGATATCTCCATTATTTCAGGAGATATCGCAATGAGTAAATCCTCACGGGACACTCTGTATTTATCCATACATTTTGTCAACATTTGAACTTCAAATGCTTATAAAAAAAATTGTGGCTATGTATTTTTAATATTTTTCAACGCTATTGTAACAATATATCAGGAGCCTTCCATTAAATTTTCACGCTTTTTACCCAACAAATAAAATTTTATTGATATTTATAGAAAAAAAAAACTAAAAAAATTAAAAAATGACAATGTCCGGAAACAGCTCAAAGAGAGTTAAAATATTTTCAAAACTTTGTGGTGTATAGAAAATTAAAATATAAATATATAAATTTTCATGTATTTACAGTTATTTGTTTGAATAACAACAAATTAACAAAATCGCTACATGAGAAATCTAGTGAATATCCAATCTTGTAAAAATATGATTTTCGAATGCTCATAAAAATTTAATTTGATTTACTTGTGGACATTTTTTTTTTTGATAAAGGCGTATACAAACTTATGAATAATCTTGTATTACATTTTAAAATCTTAGATTTGAAAAGAAACATTTTTATGATTTTTTCAACTCAAATTATATTTTTAATTTTCGTGATTTTTCTGTATTTTGTAAAGATTTGAACTTTAAATGCTTATAAAAAAAACTGTGACTAAGGATTTTTAATAATTTTCTAATGTCATTGTAACAATATAGTTGGAGCCTTGTATTAAATTTCCAAGCTTTTTTACCCAACCAGTGAATATTTCAATTATATATGTAAATGTTCATTTGTTTGGTCAAAAACCAAAATCGATTTTGTTGAAAACCGATTTCGGGTAAAAATTCCTGTTTTTCCTTAATTTTTATGTTGTTTTTCCTGGCGCTTATGAAACCTGAAGAGAATTTTAAAATTTGATTCAATACGACGTCGAGCTGTCATCTGACATTTGACTTTTGAGAATTGAATGAACATTGATCCAGTGATAACACACTATTTTGGCGGTAGAATGTTGACAGCAATATAATTTTACCATATTATACCACAGAACAATTATACGTCTATTCTGTGCACGATTAAAGATATAATATCTTTAATCGTGATTCTGTGATACTGCCATAATAAAATACAAAATTCTTTGGATAGTGGTTACCATAGATAATAATCTAACTATTTATGGGGGTTGTACGATATTTTAGAATATAGATAGAGTAATAATTTAAATGATAATGTCTAATACATGCACTAAAATAACTATTTTGTACCTCTTTATATATTATATATTTCAATGATTTTCTGGTGGTGCAAAAACATACCTTTGCACCACCAAATTTTAGATGTGGTGGTGCAAGTGCTGCATTTGCACCACCCAGTTTACGCCACTGGTTTCGGCGGAATCAATAACTCCCCATTTGCGATCCCTGCTATATGCCATTGTGCTAATGAACATAGGTACATAATGCGGTATAAAATGGAATTTTTGGGGGTTCTTGGGAATTAGTTGAGCTTGCTTAGCCAGGTATGAAAACATTTATTAACTGTATTTAACTATATTGAAATGTAATTTTTTACTCAATTATTCTGTTTATGCCACTTTTTACCTGTATCATATAGCTTTCAACTTTTTATTAATTTCGATGAAGCGCTTGGCTTTGACTCATGATTGAAGTTAATTTACTATAATGGTCAACAAAATTTTGGTCCAAAAATTGTACTTTTAATTATTTACCCACTTAGGCCTACCTATACAGATGGAAACACTTGTTCCTATCCAATAGTAAAATTTGTAGCCCGTGATTATAATTTATAAACACTGAACTTCTATACAGATTTTTGAAAGAAATTATTATTTCTAGGTAGTTTATGAAGTCTAGTGGGGGCATATGCCCCTAGCCCCCCTAAAAGGCGCTCCTGATAACTTCTATATTCTGGTTTCGATTCGTGTATCTATATATAGTCACTTGTATCGCTGTAAATCTGTAAATGTAATATTTTGTTTCATGACACATAAATATAATCATAAATTAATAACCAATAACTAACTATAACTAAATATTTAATCATACTCATATTTTGTAACCTACGAAATAGAGTTATAGTTATTTTAATTAGACAATAGGGTAACCAGTAATTTTCGGAGGGGAGGAATCTACATATACGTACCTGGCACCTGCCAATATAATGTCGTTTTTGAATTCACCTGATATGATTAATACTCAAATCAAATACGTATAGTATAATGTATATCTAAATAAGACCTATATACTCAGACCCGGGTGTGCAATCTACATACACGATCTCCCCCTCCTTGTTTGCGCCAAATACCAATGGTAATTCAGTAATTGTATAACGTTTACAAGCTTAAAAAACGACTAGGTACCATCATAAACTGTCTTCTCAGTTCTCAGTAATATAGCCATATATAATATATATATATATTAGGTATAGGTATATCGTATATGTGTAATAGCTCAATTAAAATGGATTTAGTTACACGTATGTAATTTTGAATTTTAATAGACTACATCCTGTTTACGTATAAATTAATGTATATTAATAAATAATATTATATGTATAATTTATAAAACTGTGTGTATTATTTAATTTATGTTTATGGGGTACAAGTATTATACGTTTCATTTATACGGATAGGTAAATTAATAACTTTATGCTAACAAACAACATCACAAGGAATCTAGAATGTTATGCGAGCAGTGCTGCAGTAGTTTTTCAGTCAGTGAATAGAGTAGACGGCACTTACTCTATCTAAACAGTATAGTTACTTGTACGTACTATATTATACATAGTTTTGACGTTTAACTAGAAGATAACAATTATTTAAATTTGTTGTGCCGTGTAATAGTGAGGAGAGCGTATCACGTATGAAACATCTATATTCTATGTATTAGCATCGGGTCCACAATTTTTGTTTTTTTTTTTTCATACAAACACGATGATGAACTTTCGACGATCACGACAATCTCTGGAATTTCCTGCATTCGTGTTTATCTTATCCAACCGATTGACTCAATAAAATATATAAGTGCATTGATAGTACCTATATAACTATTTATAGTATATACCTATATGGTCAGTGAGCTACACTGCTACAGTATATAATGGATGATCTAGACCAATACATCGACAGTTACTCCAAACAACGGTGGAAAGTTTTCGTTTTGTTGTTGATGGCCGGCACACCGGGTATATTCAATGCTATCCAGATATCGTCGTACGTGTTTCTAGTCGACAAACCTTCATACTGGTGTGATATACCAGATCTGAAATCGGCAGGATGGAGCGACCAGATGATCATTAATGTTTCCACGCCGTAAGACTAAATGAGGATATTTTTTATAAGTTATAATTAACCAATAATTAGTTTAGCAAGTACCTATACAAGGCTATACCTAGCTGCTAGGTTCAGGCAGTCAATATATACTATATAGCATTGACATATAAATATGATGAGAATCATTATATGTCTATAGTATATATAGACACCTCCGTTGATAAGTATATTATTTTAAATATTGTTGCGATATCATAAAACTAAATGCAAAGTGAGTACAAACTGTCCAGAGTTTGACTGGTTTAGGGCGAAAAATATCATGATAAACTATAGTACTACAATTACAAAGGAATCTGCCAATAATAGCTGTATGCAATTGTATATAGTCGATATTTGTTTTAAAAGATCTCTGCAACAATATACATATAGCTTAAATCTCAACACGTGGTAGCCAATGGTAATTGGGAAGTGGCCGAAGTGAAGAATATGCGTACCTATATGTATTAGGAGTATTATAATTCCATTATACCCATTACATTTTAATAATATACATGATAGGTACATCATCGGATCATCCTTCAACTGTACTTCCATTAATAATTATTATTCTCATAAAAAAACTATAAAAAAAGACCAGCAAAAAAAAAAAAAAAAATTAAAATCAATTGTATAATATATATAGTATCATAATTAAACCAACACCTCACTTCACTACTATATTTGAATTAGCAACAATGATCTTTTATTTCTATTGCTAAACTCTTAGCCAGTTTCTAAATTGGCCTACTGTGGGTACTGCGTTGTCAACACCTCGCACAGATACTGAAGCAGTGAAGCTCTAGCCACTCAAGGTACCTTTAATTTTTTGGTATCGTAATTAATTTATAATGAAATATATATATGTTACATATTTATGTATGTATCGTCTAATCCTCTAATCGTGTTTAAATTTATGGCTCAAGTATTAAAAATATAGGTAGTTAGTAGGTACCTGTTTCTTTTTGATATTGATATAATTTTTTTATTATACCTAACGCTAAATAACTTAAGTCTACAAGGGAAAATTATTGAAATAAACTCCTTCTAGACATTTTAAACCACTTAGGTAACTGTTGTATAGTTAATACAGTATACTACATAATTTCAACAAATTTAAAATATGAAATAACACTGCCACTACAAGTACCGGAGTACCTTTAAAAAATAATATGCATTCATTTTTAAAGACGCACAGATCTTTATTATTATCTTATTTTTTAGACATCAAAAATATTCATCAAAAAAACTTGAAGAATGTACTTATTACAATCAAAATTATTCAATATTTGCCAAAAATGGTTACAATTGGTCAATGAATAATTTAGATACTGCCGATTCTAAACCTTGTCAGTACTATAGTTACAGTACCAGAGAATCTGTTGTAACTGAAGTATGTAAACATTTCTTGAAAATTAATAATAATCCCAGAACATTTACTATAGTATTTTGTTTTATTAGAACCAATCTATATAATGTTTTAGTGGAATTTAGTTTGTGATAATGTATCGATGAAGTCCAATGTCCACGCCACTATGGCTTTTGGAAAGTTTGTTGGTGGACTTTTATTTGGTTCAATATCGGATGTATATGGCAGGAAGTTTGCTTTTAATTTGGCAGCTTTTATTTACATGGTTTCAGGACCATCTGCTGCTCTGATTGATTCATATGTATTATTTTTAATTGCAAGATTCTTGATAGGTGTAGCTGGATCTGGAATTTATGAATCATCATATACAATATGTAATATTAAAAAAAATACACATGGATAGTATTAAAAAAAATAAAATAAAAAAAAATAATTTATGTTAGTAAAATTAAAACTTTATGTTAATTTTAGTGACTGAGCTGACAAGTGGTAAGACTCGTACTTTACTTTGTCTTTTGATGAATATGTCGTATCCAATTGGTTATATTTTGTTATCAATTATTGCTTATTATGTACGACCATGGAGAATGTTGCTTTTAGTTTTGTCTTTGCCCATGTTTGGATTGTTGATACAATGCTGGTAATAACTAACAGTTTAATTATTTAATTTTACATCATAATATTTCACTATTTATATTATAAATTTAAATACTTGAATAAATTGATATTTATTTAATTACTTGTATAATAAACAATAATTAAAGTAAATATTAAAAACTGTTTTAGGTTTCTACCTGAATCTCCTAAATGGTTAATGTCCCAAGGTAGAACAAAACAAGCTTGGGTGGAAATGGCTAAACTTGTTCCAACTGCAGTTCATGCAAACATTAATAATGATGGCCAAAATAATGTAGAAATTAGTAAGGTTAGTCAATCAGTAATTACTATTTGTTTAAATTAAGGATTAAACTATTAAAGTAATTAATTTGTATTAATTAACATCAATTCGTTAAAACTTAAAACTTATAAGTACCTATGTATTTAATGTTTGCTGTGCCACAACCCTCCAATATCATCCAAGAATTAAAATAATTTAATGCTTATAAAGTTCTGTAATTTATTGTAATATTAATTAAATAATAGCCCGAAACTTGATTTTTATATTATAGGTACTGAAATTCTTAGAAAAGTAGTCGGATTAGAAAAATTAAATTAAAATTGCACGATGTTGTTCAAAAAATTAAAACAATTAACAAATAATTTTTAAAAATGTTATTTTGTGATGAAGTTAAATTATGTAAAAACATTTTAATATATTTCGAAAAAAGGACTAACGAGTACCTTGTATGAGTATAACATAAAAGTGTAATGTGTATAACGTAGAAACAATTGTTAATTGTATAATGTTCTCTATGGCATTAAAGTGACAATGGTCATGGTTTATAAATTATAATTTATACTATATATAATATATTATTCATATTTTTTAATCTTTCACATTTTTGTTAGATGTTTAGTGATCACTTTTATAAATAAATATATATTTTTTCAAACAAAGTAGATAAAAAAGAGTAATGGGAAATTTACGGAGATCTTGTCAGCATATACGTCATTGTTTTCTACACTGGACTTATCCGCAAAAACAGTTATTTCTTTATTTTTTGGATTATCTTGTGGTTTATCGTATTATGTTATTGGTAAGTCTGATTGGAATATTATATTATATATTTATATAGACGGCGTAGAATATAAACGTATTTTATCTGTTTATTATAATTTTAAATATTCTAAAATAAATACTGAACATAAATTATTGAAATATTTTAATCATTCCTTCATGAAATCCAATACATTTTGTTTATGTTATTAATTAGCATTGAACGGGGATAATATAACTGCTGATCGTTACATATACGTTGCGCTAAACGGAGTTGTTGAAGGTGTATCATACGCGTTAACTGTTCCTTTATTTCTATATGTTGGGCGCAAAAAAGCAGTTTCATCCCTTTTTTTCGCATCAGGAATATTGCAACTGACATTATTGGCAATACCACTTGGTATTAAATATATTTACACCATGGATTTTGTGAACCATTATTTTATTAATAATTAGTGTTTATTTTTTTTGTTCTTAGAAAAAGCAAACATTTTATTATGCGTGACTTTAATTGGAAAATTTTTCGTAAGTGCCTTATTTTCAGCCATTGTACTCTACGTATCAGAATTATATCCAACTACAATCAGAAATACTGGTATCGGAATATTATTGACTTTTTCTCAGATAGGATCTATTATTGCACCATATATAGTTGAAATATTGGTAAATAAATAATGACAATTGGCAATCGTGCATGACTACGATTCTTAATTATTTTGAAAATTTAAAATGAAAGTTTTCGGTTTTTGATCGATATTTGTATACTTAAAGGGAGCTAAGGCATGGTATATTCCGAGTACAGTGTGTGGGACACTTGGTATCTTTGTTTCAAGCTTGGTTCTGATGTTGCCCGAGACAAAGAAGACAGTATTACCAAATACTCTAGAAGATATGAAAAACACAAATTCCGTCAAACTTAGCAATTGTTTTAAATTTTAATTTTGAAGTGGCTTTCTCCAATTTTTTTCTTTCTTGTACAGTGCAGATTTTAATTTTATAGACAGTTCATAATTTTCAGTAAATCTTGATGTATTTTATTTGCTTGAGAATTGAGGAAGAAGGATGGACAACAATAATAACATACATTCTAATTTCTAATAATTATTTAGTATTTACAATTTACTACATAAAAAAATGCTACCTATAATTATATTACTGTTGGAGAAATGCCGGGTAATTTTAGCTGTAAATAAATATTTAGTTTGTTTGTATTATTACTTAAATAGTTCGACTAATTTAGTCATAGTTGTACACATATAAACAGTGGTGCAGTGCACTGTATACTTATTATATTTATATTATTTTAAAACTTGGTAGAAACTAAGTGTCAATGTAAGTACATAATATAGGTACTTGCAAGTTGCAAATATATTAATATATGTGTTATGCGCATTGTTTGTAGATAATTGTAAACTACCTATACCTAGTGTTGCGAGTCAAATTTTAAATCAATATTTTCTGTACATTCTTGTAATTTTTACTATGAAACATGATTATTATCAACGACACGCAATTACATATAGTATTTATGATATTGATTAAATATAAATAAAATGTAATATTTTAATTAGTGGTTATTGGTTATTATTAGAGGTCGAACGTCGGAAGTTAAAAAACAACAAAATATGTGCAGTGTAGGTACATATTATAATATAACGAACTATAAAAATCTTGAATATACAACAATTTTTTTTATATAAAATAAGCTACATTTATATGGAAATACATTTCAAAAAATAAATAGTTATTCGAAAATAGTATTAATATGCATTCTTTTAAAAAAATATTTTTATTTTTAAATTTAACTTTAATATTCCTACCTAGGAATATAAATAATTATTAAATAAATAGTATGATTCAAAATATAGATGGCCACGAGGGCATGAATATTCTCTATTATTAAATTTAATTTCTTATAAAATAATAACTTTTTTTCAATATTTGTGCAGGCCTCCTTGTGTAGATAGGAAATTTCCAGTACCTGATAAAGTAATTTTGCTCCCATAGGCGTGGCCAGATTTTCTTGTCAAGTGTTGCTAAAATGTCACAAAAGTTAAAAAGTTCCAAAAATTAAACATTTTATTTAATGAGTTGTTTATTTTATCAATTAGATATTTTTACAGAGTAGTAAATGGTAATTTATATATTTCTTACATTATAAATAATTAAAAATATTAAATAAACTAATTAAATCAAACATATAAAAAATTGAAAATTATACATTAAAAATATAAAATAATACAATATTACAATATCAAACGTCTGTTGTGAGGAATGATATTTTTGAACTCATAAATTATATTATCATAGTCAAGTTCTGATAATAGTTCTTGCCCGACAAACATCAGTAATAACGCTTCAAGTCTATTTTGTGTCATAGTATTGCGAAGTTTTGACTTGACAATAGAGAGTTTAGAAAATTTTTTTTTTTTTTTTTTTTTTTTTTTTTTTTTTTTTTTTTTTTTTTTTGATAACAGTGATACGAGTCACTCTCATAAGTTTTGGTTATATTTCTAGCTTTCTCTTTCTTCTTTTTTTACGTGGTTGTTTGCATTAATCTCATCTTTAATACATTTTTGCCTGTACCTGTTTTCAAGCCTCAAGTTAGCGGATAAATTACATTAATGTGTTGATATTGTTTTGACCAAACTGTTACTCGTGGACATCAGGTACGTCTTATCACTTCAATCATCAAGTCTTATCAAGACCACTCTTTAATATAACCAGTCAGCTGTTTTTCTTCAGTGACTTAAACGCTGGGCATCATCATTGCCCATTATAACACTTACCTTTGTCTAACTTGGTTGGCTGCATCGAACTACATTGCTGTATTATAGGTTGCGCTCACTCTTTTTAAGGCGTAACATTGAAATCATAAAATAACGCTTTTCGGTTTGCTGCACAATTCATTTATTAGCTGTTCAAACAACTAATTCATTTACCTACCAAATCGATATTTGCCATCACCGTTATTCTGCGCTGGATACCTGATTAATTATTACACTTATCCTAGTCACTATGCCCACAACACCTAACGCAAAGCCTGTTAATACACGGTCACAGTCTTTGAAAATGTCTACCAATGACGACATTCTCAAAGCCATTAATTCACTCTCTACATCCCAATTGTCACAGTTTCAAGAACTCCGTACAAGTATCTCCGGTTTAACCTCCAAAGTGGCAGATCTTGCCACCGAGAATGCTGCTTTTCGGACCGAAATTTCAGATCTCCGATCACGAATTGACCTTCTCGAATCACGGCCGGTCCATCCTAGCGATTTATCATCTGTGATTTTTCGTGAGTCCACTGAACGGTCGAAAATTGAATTTAATTCAATCGCCTATGGTGTGCCTGAGTCTAGTGCCAACACCGCTGCACTAAGATCCGAAGAGGACTTACACACCTTAAGCAATCTTCTTAATAGTATTTCTATTCCTGTTCCCACTGAACCAAAGCTAATACGCCTTGGGAATAGCACTGCGAAAAAACCAAGACCTCTCAAAATCATCTGTCAGTCCAAGAATGATGCATCACAACTCATCTACAAGTTTAACTCCCAGATTCGAAATGGAGTATCACCCACACCTGGTTTTCGCGTAGTACGTGATAAGACTACACTAGAACGCGATCTTTTACGTCAAGCGCATATTGATCTGGAGCAGAAAAAGGACGCAGGCTCTACCAATCTTACAATCTCGTTTGTCAATGGAGTTCCTACCGTAGTTAAAGCTGTTCCAAAAAACACGAATCCCAGAGGAAGCAACCATCGTCCAAATACCACCCAGCCTATTCATTAGTTCATGATCTGAACTCTGGTTTGCATGCATTTTGTCTAAATAATTCTAATTGTACTTTTTGTCGTTATACTAAGTCCACCTTTAACTCTTTTTTCTCTAATTTTAATAATTTTATAACTAAAAATGTATCCCCGTTAATATCTATGTCCAATAATTCTAATATTTTACCCAGTCCACACTATAATGTTCAAATTTATTACCAAAATGTTCGCGGCCTCCGTACTAAACTTTTGAATCTCCACACTAACTTTATTTTATCTTCCTATGATGCATACGTCTTAACAGAAACCTGGCTCTCTAATGACATTTCAAATGCCGAATTAGGTTTCGATGAATATTTAATCTTTAGGTGTGACAGGAATGTTCTAACTAGTAATTGTCGACGGGGTGGGGGAGTATTAATTGCAGTCAACAAAAAGCTTAGACCAGTCTTAATTACTTCTCTTTATGATAAATGTGAACAAGTCTTTGTTCGGTTCACTCTTCCTAGTGGTCTCTCCGTTTTTTTAGTTGGAGTTTACTTACCTCCAGGGTTAAACCCCTCGGTTTACGAAGGTCACCTTGAGTCTGTTGACCAGGCCTGGGGAACTAATGCCTTTAATCTTGGTCTGGTTTGTGGTGACTATAATTTGCCCAACGTATCCTGGACCAGTGGTGATTCTGGTTTTATCTACACTGGTAGGATTAATGATAAGGTTCGAACTGTTGGGGATCATTTTAGTTTGCTTCACTTTACTCAAAAGAACCAAATTTATAATAACACCGGTTCCGTTCTTGATTTAATCTTCACCAACAACGCATCCACCCAAGTATCTCAGGCTGCCGACCCCTTGGTTCCATGTGACTTGTACCACCCGGCCCTCACTATCTCCTGTCCCTCTCCATCTGATCTCCCTATGCTCAACGCCCAGCACATGTTCTACGACTTTAAAGCTGCTAATTATGAGATGATATCTCATTATTTAGAAGACATAGATTGGTCCGATGCCCTTAATTCTAAATCGACTAACGAATCAGCAGATTTACTTCAGAAAATTCTTCAAGACTGTATCCGGGAGTGGGTTCCAGTACGTAGCTTTCGCAATTCTACCTTCCCAAAATGGGTCTCCGGCAGCCTAATTAATCTTATTTCAATGAAAAAAGAATCCCACAAATTATACAAATTACTAGGGGGTTATGATCGGTACACGACCTTCTCCAGACTACGCGCACGATGTAAATATGAATCCAAGCGCCTTTACAGAAACTATTTGGATAGCTTACAAGAGCGCTTTTGTACTAAACCTAAATCATTTTGGGAATTCGTTCGGAGTAAACGTGGAGCCAACTCGATACCTGATGAGGTTCATCTTGGCCAAACTAAAGCCACTGGCGAACATGTTTCTTCCTTGTTTGCCTCACACTTCTCCTCGGTATATAAAGACTCACATTTTACGGCAAACACTTTATCCGATGAGTGTACTAATCAAGAATTTTCTTTTCTCCCATCAATTTTATCGATTACTACTGAAGAGGTCAATGAAGCCATAAACTCCCTATCAAATACCCGTGGTCCTGGGCCAGATGGTATTTCTGCCCTTCTACTGTACCGATGTCGGGCCACTCTCGTTTTACCCGTAACTTTTATTTTTAACAAGTCTCTTGCCGAAGGTGTCTTCCCCCACGCCTGGAAAATTAGTCGTGTAACACCCATTTTAAAGTCTGGTAATCCGACCGATGTTGCCAACTACAGACCCATCTCCGGCTTACCTTTCCTCGGTAAGCTATTCGAATCAATTGTTCTTAAACAAATTAAACGTAAATTTTCATCGATCATATCAATCGACCAGCACGGGTTCGTTCCTGGTCGCTCAACTGTTACTAGCCATGTTGATTTTGTTTCCTTTTTACATAAGGCGTTTGAACTAGGTAATCAAGTTGATGTCATATACACCGATTTTTCCAAAGCGTTCGACTCTATAGATCATAGAGCTTTGCTTTATGTTCTTGACAGGTTAGGCGTTGGTGAGCCATTCCTATCGTGGATTAGTTCCTATCTTAGCGAGCGGCTCCAATTTGTAAGTCTCTTCGGTAAGTCATCCAATCTTTTTCGAGCGTCATCCGGAGTTCCACAAGGTAGCCACCTAGGACCTCTCTTATTTAATATTTTTATTAACACCGTGTGCTCAACAGTTTCTCCTTGTCGCCTTCTTCTGTTTGCCGATGATTCTAAGATTTTCCAAATGATATCCTCATACAATGACTGCCTCACTCTCCAAAACTCCCTTGATAAATTTGCCGCCTGGTGCAATTCTTTTAATTTGTCGCTAAATATTGCCAAATGCAAAGTAATGACCTTTCATCGTTCTAGGTCAGTCATTACCTTTGACTATAACCTAAGCGGTCTATCTATTCAACGTGTTAACCAAGTCGAGGATTTGGGCATTCTGTTTGTGCCTTCACTCCACTTTGGTCCTCATATCGATATCATGACTAGTAAAGCTTTTCGCGTACTGGGTTTTATTAAGAGACATACTGTTAATTTTAGTTCCCCTAAATGCCTACTGGTTCTCTACAACTCGTTGGTTCGTTCAGTTCTCGAATATGGGTGCGTAGTCTGGTCACCATACACCGCTGCTGATATTCGACGGATTGATCGGGTTCAAAATTACTTTATGAACTTTGTTGGCTTCTGTCTCAATATCCCTCACCCTAAACACGATTACAGGCCTATTATACAAGCCCTTAAGCTCAATTATCTCCAAACTAGGCGTGATAACCTTGGTAATAATTTTATTCGAGGTTTAATTGAGGGTAGAGTCGATGCCCCTAGGCTTCTCGAACAACTTGATTTTCGAATACCCAATAATACTAGGTTACAGTGTTCTTTCTATCCCCCTAACAATACGTCTATCTTTGCGAGAAATGCCCCATTACCAAGATTAATGCGATTAGCGAACTTACTGTAATACCCGTAGTACGGAGGCTCACATTTTCGTTAGCTTATTACTTCTATTACCATGTTATTTATTTCTTATTATCATTATGTTATCTATCTAGAACTTTATTTAATTTATTCATATGTAAAAAAAAAAAAAAAAAAAAAATGTTTATATATCTTGATCTGTATCTTACACTCCATGTAAATTTTGTAAAAGCCGACTGGCGTTAATTCAATAAAATAAAATAAAAATAAATAAAAAATGACCTTTCACAAGAACATGACGACAAAGATTGAATGGAAAACAAAACAATATAAAAAAGTATGTGTGTTACCAGTACGCGCGCGGGAAGTTAAACTTCTTTTGAATGGTACTAATTATTTATTATTGATAGTTTTATTATTTTTTTTATATTTTTATTCGACAGATCGATGGATAATTGTTTGTAGTATTGTTTTTTATCCAGACAATAGATTTGTGAGTGAATAATAATAATAATAATAATAAAAATAAATAATAATCGATCATTAAATATTCATATTAATTAGTATTGGCCAAGATAGATGAATCTGTTTTAGATTCTGAGTGAAACGATGAATGTATTGATTTTACAATGATGTGTGTTTTTTTTTTAAATTTTTTTTGTGTCTGTCATCACGTTTTAGGACAGTAAAAGTGCTTGGATTTTCTTCATCAGTAGCTTTTCTGATAGGAAAGTGAATCTAGTTGGTACTTTGGGGGGTCAAAAGTATAATTTTTAGTAGTTTTCTCAAGCGCCGGGAAAAACAACATAAAAATTAAGGAAAAACGGGAAATTTTAAGCAAAATTGGTTTTCCAAAAATGAAAAAATCGATTTTGGTTTTTGGTGTAACTCTAAAACAAATGAACGTATATACATGCAATTTTCACTGGTTGTTTATATTTGCATTTTATATACACGATAACATTTTCAAAATATTTTGATTTATTTTGAACTGTTTAGGGACATTTTCATTTTCCATTTTTTTTTAGTTTTTTTTCTAAAAATATCAATAAAATTTTATTTGTTAGTTGCGAAAATTAGGTTTTTATATTTTAAAGTTTAAACAACAGCTGTAGATCTACAGCCGTGCTTTAAACTAAAATACAAATTGTCAAATTGATGTTACTTAATACTTGGTAGTATACTAGTATGATAAATCATCTAACAAAAGTTCAGGTGTTGCTATAGCATACCCAGCAACACCCGTAAACACGCCTATGTTTGCTCCATATTATTCCACGAGTTATATTTTATTAAAACATGATAAAAGCAATTAAGTATTCAACAAGTTAACAACCCATATAAAGACAAAGAATGATAAAAAATATTTCATGTTTCATACTTCAATTTTTTTTTTTTGAAACTTTAGAAGTAAAATTAAATAATCAAAGTGATCCTTTTATCATGAACCGCTCATTGCTTTGAAAAGTTCTTATTTTTTAATGAAACTATTTTTTTCACATGATTTAATGTCATTTAAAGAAATATATTTTTACATTTTTTTTATGTTTTCTTAATATTAATTTCAATTTTGTTCTTTTTTCCTTGGTTATTTTATTAGTTCTTTTTTCCTTGTTCTTTATCCTTGGTTTTTTTTCCTGTACCTAGTATTATATTTATGTTCCTATGACCTATGAGTACTATTATCAGTATACTGACTATACTGCAATACAGTATACACTAGTCACTAATACTGACCATGTAACTATTAAACCATGAGTAAGTTAGTAAGTACTAAGTACTAAAATAGCTAGGTACGAGGTACCTATATGTGTTATACCTACATATTTTATTTACGCATGTACCTACCTAATATTATCTAACCATGCATATTTTAATTTATAGTTTTTAGATTTCGTAACCTATGTTTTACATTTTAATATATTTTAATAGTAATTCATTTAAATTTTAGTTAAAACTTACATCATATATTTTAGATTCTGAGTGGGACGATGAATGTATTGATTTTACAATGGATGTGTGTTTTTTTTTTTTTAATTTTTTTTAATTTCTTTTTGAGTCTGTGTACACGATAAGTAGTCGAAATAATGCTTCG